CACTAGCACCTAGAGCACCAGCCTCGCTAGCACCTAGAGCAACAGCCTCACCCGTACCTAGAGCAGCAGTCTCAATGCCCGGGTCGGGCGGAAAACACCGGTAACAGTCACCCTCATCACTAATAGTCACAGCATACATGGCAGCAAGAATAGCATCAAAGTCAAGGTCAAAGATAGCTACTCCCGCCCTAGACAGCTCGCCCCAGCGAGGGATCTCAGTGGCCTCAGGGAACTGGTGACGCCAAGCGTCCGTCAGGCGGCCAAAGCAGCGCTGGGTGGAGTGCGCACCCCCGCACGGCTCACCCGCGCGGTCGCCGGTGCGTAGGACGTAGGTGCACGGACCAGTACCCCAACCCCGCTGGCGTGCAGCGTACCACTCACGGAGCTGCTGAGGGGGGGGGAAGTCCCGAGTGCGCTGCTGCTGCTGCTGCTGCTGCTGCTGCTGGCGCTGACCACCACCGGAGCCAACCCTCTGCGCAGTGCCACCCCGACCAGCTCCACCTCCCCCGCCGCCGCCTCCTCCACCGCCGCCACCTCCGCCACCTCCGCTCCCACCGCCACCGCCTCCTCCGCCTCCGCCTCCACTGCCGCCACCGACACCTCCACCCCCGCCACCACCCCCACCGCCACCCCCACCCCCTCCGCCGCCTCCACCGCTGCCTCCACCGCCCCCGCTAGCTCCTCCAGCGCCCCTGCCCCCCTTGCCCTTGCCAGGGCGGCGCTTCCCGCTAGGGGTAGACGCCGCACCGACCGACTCAAGACCAACGAGGTCGGCCGCAGCAGCAGAGGCAACAGAGGGCAAGAGAGGAGAGGGGGAGCACCCCTCAATGACAGGGGCGCGCGGGTCACCACGAGAGGCTCCTACAGCGACTATGCTCTTCTCTGCTGCTAGGAGGCGCTCCTCGAGGAGGTCAACGGTGAGGGTGGTGGGGCAAACAGAGAGAAAGTGGTCCCTGACCGGGCGAAGGGTGTCAGGGAGGCGGGTGACTATGTAGTAGAGGGTGATGTACATAGGGGGGGGGTTCTTGGCGCAGAACTCAGCGGGAAGGGCAGCGCGGTAGCGAATGTCACTAGTGCGGAGGTGCGTAATGAGGTCAGCAACTGTGGGAAAAGCTGCGAGGTCAGGGAAGAGGTACGGCAGGATGAGGCGGCTAAGTGCAACAGTGGCAGGGGAAGAGTAGCGTGCAACTACAGCGTCGTACAAGGTCTTAGCACTCTTTTACTGGCTAAAATGCGCACGCTCAGAGGTAGGCAAGTGGCGACGCACAGCAAGGCGTGCAGCAGCATCGCGTGTGGCCCACTGTGAGCGAACAGTGGCGTCAGCATCAGCAGCGGGGGCAGGAGAGACACCAGAAGTGAGGTCAAAGAGGGAGAGACCGTCTGCCCTATCGCACTGTAGGAAAAGCTGCAGGTCATCTACCCAGACGTCAAAGTCAATGGCCCGACCCTCAGCGTCAAAGCGAGGACACTGGGGGTAGCCATGACAGCAGTAAACTGGCAGCACGAGCAGTAGGGTAAGAGCGGCACAGTAGTAGAGGTGCTGTTCTTACCGGGCAGGCGAGACGGACCGAGGGTAGAGGACAGGGCGGCTCGAACGACTCGGCAGCTCGTCGGCTCGGCAGCACGGGTGGCTCGGCGGCTCGGGCGGTTCGGCGGCTCGGCGGCTCGGGCGGCTCGGCGGCTCGGGCGGCTCGGCGGCTCGGGCGGTTCGGCGGCTCGGGCGGATCGGCTGCTGCAGGGGCAGCGGCGGCTGCTGCTCACAGGACGGCGGCGGCCGCTGCTGCAGCGGCGGCGGCAGTTGCTGCTGCAGGGGCGGCGGCGGCCGCTCCTGCAGGGACGGCGGCGGCCGCGGTTGCAGTGGCGGCGGGTGCTGCTGCTGGGGCGGCGGATGCTGCTGCTGCTGGGACGGCGACCGCGGCTGCTGTAGCGACTGCAGCTGCTGCTGCTGTAGAGGCGGCGACGGCGGGCCGAGAGAGGCCGTGAAGGGCGGCGGACGGGCCGTGAAGGGCAGCACGAGGGGCCGCGGAGGGCGGCGACGTTCCGTGAAGGGCGGCGCGAGGGGCCGCGGAGGGCGGCGACCGGCCGTGAAGGGGCCGCGGGTGGCCGCGGAGGGCGGCGACGGGCCGTGAAGGGCGGCTCGAGGGGCCGCGAAGGGCAGCGACGGGCCGTAGGGGGCCGTAAGGGCGGCGCGAGGGGCCGGAAGGGCGGCGCGAGGGGCCGTAAGGGCGGCACGAGAGGCCGTAAGGGCGGCTGGAAGGGCCGTCAGAGGAGCCGCTAAGGGCGACGCGAAGGGGCCGTAAAGGGCCTAGAGAGGGCGCGACGGTAGGGAGGGCACGCGGGGCGCGACTCGGGCAGGAGCGAAGCGCGCTCCGGGCAGGAAAAAAAAAAAATCGATTTGGTGGGCCCTAGGAAGCGTTCCCACGAGGGAACCCGCTCTATACCATGTGAAATGTCGAGGAAAATGAGATTGACTAAGGGAAAGTTGGGTACAAGTACAAACCCTAGAAAACTGTACCCCATATGTGCTACCCCACTACAGCCTACAGCAGCTATGTCATATAAATCTGACACCCCTCTCCGTTCGCCCTTCCCCTCTCCGTTCGCCCTTCCCTCTCCGTTCGCCCCTCCCCTCTCCGTTCGCCCCTCCCCTCTCCGTTCGCCCTTCCCTCTCCGTTCGCCCTTCCCTCTCCGTTCGCCCCTCCCCTCTCCGTTCGCCCCTCCCTTCTCCGTTCTCCCTTCCCCTCTCCGTTCGCCCCTCCTCTCTCCGTTCGCCCTTCCCCTCTCCGTTCGCCCTTCCTCTCTCCGTCGCGATTCCCCTCTCCGTTCGCCCTTCCCCTCTCCGTTCGCCCTTCCCCTCTCCGTTCGCCCTTCCCTCTCCGTTCGCCCCTCCCCTCTCCGTTCGCCCCTCCCCTCTCCGTTCTCCCTTCCCCTCTCCGTTCGCCCTTCCCCTCTCCGTTCGCCCTTCCCCTCTCCGTCGCGCTTCCCCTCTCCGTTCGCCCTTCCCCTCTCCGTTCGCCCTTCCCCTCTCCGTTCGCCCTTCCTTCTCTGTTCGCCAGTCCCCTCTCCGTCGTGCTTCCCCTCTCCGTTCGCCCTTCCCCTCTCCGTTTGCCCTTCCTCTCTCCGTTCGCCCTTCCTCTCTCTGTGGCGCTTCCTCTCCCGTCGCCCCTCTTCTCTCCCGTCGCCCCTCTTCTCTCCCGTCGCCCCTCCTCTCTCCCGTCAACCTTCCTCTCTCTCCTTACTACGTCGCTCTCGCTGTTCTCGCTCGAAGTACTACCGTGCCTGATTAAATTGTTTCTTTAAGGTGGCATTGGGCACTGAGAGGGACGTGGGTTATGCGGCTCTCTCCTTTTGGAACTACGAATTAACTTGGATTTATTTTCTGTTAGAAATTTTCATCGGGTGAACCATTCAGCCTTGGTGTTCAAACATTACTCACGCTCTCCCCGTCGCATCTCCCTCGCGCTCACGCTCTCCCCTCCCATCTCCCTCACGCTCACGCTCTCCCCGTCGCATCTCCTCTCGCTGCCCCTCGCCCTCGCATTTGCTACGGTAGCGAGCCCCGCTGTTATTCGGCTATCTCGTCCGTCCCGTCGCCCTGCCATAGCCCTGTCGCCCTCACAATCACCCCTCCCAGGCCCCAAAATGTCAGGGTAAAATACCCTGATTGCCCTGACTGGCGGCCGCTTTTTTTGGGGTTACCCTGACCCAGTCAGGCTCCCGGATTTCTTACCCTGACTAATACAGAGTTTGATTTTTTGTACCCTTATGAATTCCGAGCTATAGATTGTTTCCCCTGACTTTCATCAGTGTTTTAATCCTGTTACACTGATACCGAGTCTTTCGTAGCGAGGATATAGTGGATGTTGCGCAAGATGGCACCATCAGGTAGTGCACTACGCTTATTTCCCAATGCGAGCATCGAACTTGCGACATTTCCTCTCACAACTCCGCCCCTGACCGACTGAAACACTTCAACTGTAATGTAATAAATATGGACTCTTACACGAAATCAGAGTACAAATTTTTTTTACCCTGTTTTCATCAGGGTACGAAATTGTTTACCCTAGGAGTCAGGGTTGGCCCACCCTGGAACTCTGATTTGACAGGGTGGGCCAAAACCAATTTTGGGCCCTGCTCCCTTCATCTCGCCCTCACGATATCCATCCAATTCCGTCGCAATCGATGCCTCTGCTGCACTTAGTCGTATTCTTCAGTGTATGTGTGTGCTTGGGATCTTGTCTGTGCTGTTGCTAGATATGCATTTGATGAAGTCACAACTCGTCAAATGGTTGCACTGCCTTGCACGTCGCAGCTCTTTGCGCCAAATTCGCACATCTGTTTGGCTGCCAATCAAAATTGAGAAAGAACTTTGTTCCTTGTTCACTCCGAAACTTGTCTGGAGCTGGAAAAAAAACACACGCACAGTACTTCAACCTTCTACAACACTACAAAGAAACTTGGGTCTTCAAGTTGGACCCGACTAGAAGGGGGGGGTCACTATTTTAGCTGCTGGCTTTAAAAAATCTCAATGAGTGTACATCTCCTATACGCACATAATTTCTATAAACGTTCTCAGTTACCGGTAGTCGTTGTCCTTACCCTGCCTCTGTGTGTGGGCATCTTGCACCCTTCCAATCCTCACGGTATTAGACTGGAGATTCTTTCTTGCTACGATAATATACCCCTAAACCGGTGCACTGCAGCCCTTTTCCTGGGTACAAAGCATCTTTGACAAAATCATGTGATTTTCCTCGTTATGACCGCCTTGCTTTAAGTACTGCTCTTGCATCGAAGCCATGTCAGTATCATTATGGTTGCATTGCAGCAAACTTTCATGAACACATACGACATTACAAGGCTGCACTTATTCGCATGCATAAAAAAAGGGGGGGGGGGGGGGCTAGCTAGCAGGCTACTATTGCACCTTACACAGGCGCTTCAGATATCAACACGCATCCAGCACACACACATACACATCCAGCACACCCACTGCAACATCTTCACTCTTTTCGCCCATCATCTACCCGAACCTCAGTCAACCCAGCCACCACAACGCCCGAGCTCATGCCTTTATTATCCCCAAAGTGCTCCGCCTCAACAGCCAGCAATCTCTCGCGCACGTCGCGCATGCTGGGCCGTTGATCCACCAACTCCTGCACGCAGTCCGCTGCAATCTGCCCCAGCAGCTGGAACGCACCCGCAAAGGCGCGTGAAAAGACACGCGGGTCCGCAATCAGGTGCACGTCGCCCTCATGCACGTAGTGCACCGCCTGTGTAGGACATATGCGATGTGTAGGACGGCCGCACACCAGGCGGGGGGTAAAGTGAGAAGGGAAGGGGATAAAAGCCAGCAAGAGGAAGGCAGAGAGGCAAGGGGGAAGCGGGAAGGGAGATAAGGGGACTTTGGGCACAGGGAACAGACATGGATATCTGCTATTCAGGGATCGAGCAAGCAGCAGCTGAGCTGAGCCAGCAGAGGCACTGATGGGTGGATGAAGATAGCAGAATGAGTCGTGGCACTGACCCATTCCGTGATGCGCAGCCTGCTGTCTGCGTCGTCGGGATCAGGCACCACAGCCCGCCGCCCCGTGATCAGCTCCAGAAGAATCACGCCGAAGCTGCCAACAACGCACCACCACACACACACACACCAGAAAAAAGCGGGGTTAGAACAGCAGGCGAGCAGCACACACCTAGTCTAGGCTACAATGACAGTCACACACAATCTCCTCTCCAGCCTCCCCTTTCCCCCAGCACCCGTGCCTGTCCCCCATCCCCGCGCAGTCCCCCGCTCGGCGCACCTGTACACGTCCGTGTGTTGCGGGGTGAGGGCGGAGGGCGCGAGCAGCGGCGTGGCGGGGTCGCGGTAGCCCTCCTCGTTAAGCGCCTGCGGCACGGCGTTCAGCCGCCCGCCCTCGCCGTGGTGCACGAAGCAGAAATCCGCGATCTTGGGCTGCCGCGCGGTCAGGGCGGACGGGCGGAGAAGGCAGGGAAAAGGGGGGAAAAAAAAAGGGAAGGGTGCGGAGCAAGGGTTTAAGGTTAGACCTGCAGGCAACTCGTTAGGTGTTAGAAGCAGAGCAGCAGCGGGACGAAATGACTCTTAGGCGGATCGCGGAGCGGTTACACGGGTGCAGCAAGGCCGCGTGGCGGCGTGGCAGCGTGGCGGCGTGAGCGGCGTGAGCGGGGAGCGCACCTGGCCGTCGGCGGTGAGCATGATGTTGGACGGCTTGAGGTTGCGGTGCAGCAGCCTGGGCCGCTGCGAGTGCATCCACGCCAGGCCCTCCGCCACCCCGATCGCCACGCGCACGCGCTGGTGCAGCGGCATGGGGGAGTCTGCGGGGAAAGGGGACAACGTGGGGTAGAACGCATAGAGAATGCTAACTCAGTACATGTCAGGCAGTCCGTCATACACGAATGTCTCAGAGGGAGTAACCTAGCAAGCTTCAGCGGCGGCGCGGAGAGAAGTCCGCGCAAGTGAAGGTTACCAACTTGAAACGGCCCTCCGTGGCGAGTGATTTTCCAAACTTACTGCCGGCGGTGAGAAGGTTATCGCGCAGCGACCCGTGCGGCATGAGATGGTACACCACGAGCCGCTCGCTCCCCGCGCAGCAGAACCCGACGATGCCCACGATGTTGCGGTGCGACCGCCGCGCGATCGCCTCCACCTCATCCACGAACAACGGCTCGGATTCCCCCGCCGCGCCCCAGTTGAAGCGGTGGAAGCGCTTCACCGCCCACTCCAGCCCGCCGGGGGCCTCCGCGCGGAACACCGCGCCGTAGGCTCCGCTGGTGCTGGAGGGCGCGGCGAGGCGGCGCAGCACGTTGAAGCCGCTGGTGGCGCGGCGGAGCTCGTCGAAGGTGAAGCGCACGCACTTGGACTTGGAGGACGGCGTGGACGGCACTGCGGAGTCGATTCCGCCCTCGAACGACAGCTCCTTGCAGGCCGCTGGCGGGACGGGCGGGGGAGAGAGCGGAAGCGGAGAGAAGGGAAGGGTGACACGCGGGGATTGGAAAATAATTTGGCTGGTTAGTCCAGTTTAACAGAGTTTGTCGTCATCTATAAAGACAGGGTTGGCGGCAAGATAAGCTTTTGGATCTTACGAGCAGACCGGCGCTTGTACATGACGAAGATGGCGATGAGAATGGCGGCCACGACGGCCACAGGCACGGCGATTATCACGACGAGAGAAAGCGGCGACGGGGAGGAGGAAGAGGAGGAGGAGGACGCGTCGCCCGATGCGAACACGGAGAAAAGACCGCCGGCCGCGCTTGCGCCGTCGATGGGCTCAACGGACACGCCATCGACGATCGTGCTGTTCTCAGCCGAGAGCACTGTGAATACGACCGCCGTCTTGTCTCCGCTCGCGTCGACCTCCAGCATGCCCTGCGCGTACCCGTTCGCATCCACGCTCGCGGCATCGGCGGAAGAGAAGGAGGCGTTGGCGCCGCCGAAAGAGACCTGCATGAGCAGCGCGCGCTGCAGCGGTTGGCGGCGCGCGAAATAGAAGGTCAGGCGGTACCGCCGCCCGGGCTCCGTGGGGATAGACTGCTCCGCCGCGCCCCACAAGCAGCGATCAGGTTTGTCGCAGCCGCCGAGCTGCAGCACGCAGCTGCCATCGTACGGCGGAGGGGCGTCGGAGGACGGGGGGCGGATGTCGAGGCGAGATGTAGCGGAGGCGGCGAGCGAGGACGAGGCGGTTTGGCAGATGGGATGCGCGAACGACCATAGATGCCAGGCTGATGAGGAAGCCTTTGATTGCTGCAGCTGCTCAAAACTCGGGTCGCTCACGAGATCTGCGAGGGGGAGGCAGGGAGAACGAATCGGGTGAAAAGGTGAGAGCGAGGTGGAACGGGTAGCGGACGATGCGAAAAATTGCGTTGTCGTGATCGTACTAGTGTTTATGGTGTGCCTCTATTGCTAAAAGAACGCTACATAAAGCGAGCGCCCACCTGAATCTGTCATCCCGAGTGCTGCGAACGCTGTAAGGAGCAATCCTATCAGTAGTGGCGCGGCGACGCTATCCTGACCACCCATAGTACAGGGTACAGGCTCTTCCTACTCGGAGAACTGAAGTGATGTTGTTTGTAGTCTTAAGTTTAACTATCGATCAAAAGCAGAGAATAATGGCAGGTTGTACCCTCAACTTAGTTGTTTACGACAGATATGAGAACGGACGGTTTATGTGTTGCTCTTGTTGCTTGGTTCGATTTGAGTCGAGTGGAGATAGTTTGGAGTGAAGTCAAGGAGGCGGTGAGGTGAGGCGAGGGGTAACCAACCAATGACCATGCAGGGTGGATGGATGGATGGGTCCACATGTGCAAGCTGTAATGTATTGACTTCCCACACTGACTCGCGCACACTGCCTCGCAAGAATTCCCTCCCCTCTCTCAATTCAAGCAGCGCCGCGTCAGCTCATCGCTGTCAAGTTTTCTTCCCCGGGGTCCTCCCTACAATGATTTAGCCAATCACGTTCGACTCAACCATTTTGAGATGCGCGATGTGGTTCTCCTCCGCACTCCGTTCTCCCTCTCGCTGACGCATCGCCAAAGACTACGATTTGTCGAGCATTGGACGCGCCACTGTGCTGGTCTTGGGTTTCTGCAATGCAGTTTCAAAGAGGCAAGAGTGGGCAGTTCTTGAAAGGGCCCAGGGGCCAGGACGGTAGCGAGAGAGTCAATCGAACAAAACAGCACTTGGCTTTTGCTTGATGTCAAGCTCTGGACTCCAACAAGCCCAGAGTTCAGCATTAATTAGCTGAAAGGTTTGAGAGCGGTTTTGTGCAATTTAAAACATTCTATTTTTCACCGCGTTCAACCGCTTTTCACCAGCCTGAACACATACCTCGTCTGTAAGCAAACGGTACGAAGTTGGCTTTCAAAACAGACCTTGCTCTGATGGCACTGGCGAGCATCTGAACAGGTGCTGCAGGCCTGCTCTCTTGCTAGTTTTCAGGGTCATCGAGATTTGAACAATGGCTGGGAAAAACAAAACTTCACAGGGCGCAGTCAAGAGGGAAACCAATTCCGGCAGGATAAACGTGCCTGCCAGTGTTGGCAAGAAACGAAACCTGCACTATACACAGTTCACAACTGTAGTCGAGTCGAGACTGGGAAAGGGCCAATTCCATTCACTGTACTTCAAGCCAATTGCGTTTCTGTACGGAGTTTTGACGCTTGACGAAGGCCCAGCTTCCAGCACTGATTGGAAAAGGTTTGGGGTCCCGGCGTGGTTGGCTGGGACAGGAGTTTTTCGTTGACGCGAGGACCCAAGGTCTCACACTCTTTAGGCATCATCTCTCATTTCCTCCATCGGGGACACATTTCGGTGCATAATCATCTTTAGACCAGCGATATATCTTGAGACAAGTCCCTTGAACCGGCAGAAACAAACACGCCAAACACGACCTTACAGCTTCGTCAAGGACAAGACTTTGATGGCTGTCTTCGTGGCTAGCCGGGTGTGAAAACGCCAAAAAGGGCGACTGTGCTGTGATGAACTCGCAACATTTTAGAGTATGAACTTTCGATAACGACACCTGATACGAAGTGCAGGAATTGCACTAACAGAAAATCCCCGTTGTGTGGAGTTCGGCAAAAGGCATAAACGTTTGGGTATAACCTGAAAACGTTACCTGCAAGCCCCCGGAAATATGTGCACCCTGTATCAACCACCAGTGACGGGTGTCATGCTCTCCCAGAAAGATGCCCTGGAGGTGTGTACAAAAAGCATCAGTAAAAACTATTGTCAGTCTCCGGATCTATCGTCCTTAATGAAAAAATCAGCTGCTTTCCACAGATGGCAACGGCTTTTCAATACCAGTCTCGAATCTGGGCTGATGCAGTAATAAGACGTAATGGTCCAATAAATGGGTGCATACAGTCATATGAAGTATTTAACGATGTATGTGAAAGTTATAATAAGGTAATACAAAGCACCTTAGTATATATGGGTAATTGCACTGCATCCCCTTCCCGTGCAGCACATATGAAGAATCAAAACATAATAAGACAATACCGTATTTCAAAAGAATGTTGACCCTGTAGGCGAGCTACCCCATTCGACACAAAACATAACAAGGCAGCGAGAACATACGGTAAGATTAAATCAAGCTTCCTCATGAATCCACTGCCATGTACATCTGACAATGTCAAATGTCATTTGAGGGCACGCTCATACTTTCTTTTTGGGCTCAAAAACGTATTTAATGATGGAAGACCTAATGTCAAGCATCTCTGGGAACTCTGTCTTCAGCTTTGTGGCATCCAGCTCGTTGTTGCTCCGTGCAGCAACAATGACCTTTGCCTGAAACAGCAAAAGTTGTCGATGAGTGAAGCAGCATTAAACACAAAACAGAAAAGTTACAAGAAAGGTGACTTGCCTGCTCCTCCAGGGTGAAGTTTTGCCACTTGAAGTTGGGGTCAATGTAATCCCGGTACAGCTCAAGGATCTGATTATGGCTAATCACTCCAGGGTTGGTGAAGTTGTAAATACCATGAAGACCCCTCTTGGCCATCTCAATGGAAATGGGCAGCAGCTCGTCCAGAACTGTCATGGAGTTCGGGATGTCCACAACCTGCAAACACAGGAAAATATGCGAGACAAGTGAGAATCATCACTACTTGGCAAAGAAAAAATCACCACCAAAAACAGACAACGCCCGACCTTCTGATAGCGGGAGATCTTGGTGATGAAATTTCGCGGGTTGGACAGGTCGGATGAGATCGGCATGCGAACTCTAAGCACACAGACGTTGTCATACGCCTTGAGCATCTCCTCAACCTGCAAGAAATACAATGAAGCACAGTTGAGAATGTGGCATTCAAAGGCCTGAAATTGCAACATGAAAGAGACAGACAGCATAGATTACCATGCCCTTGGTTCTGGAGTAGTAAGAACCAAAGAAATTGGCGCTTTCCTCTTCTGTGAAGCCAATCCCTGTGCCAAGAGGGTGCTTGTCATCGTACTCAAAGATGCAACCGGTTGCGTAGTTCATCACCAGCAAATCATGGTTCCTGCACAGATGAGAAGCGGGAGTCAGCAACAGCCAAGAAATTCCAAGATGGCCGCAAAGACAACCAGATCACAAACCTTGCAACATCGCAGAGCGTGAGCACACCAATGACGTTTGCTCGGAGGGTTTCCACCTGGTGCGACTCGCACCAATCCACATTGGGCCGACCAGTGACACCAGCAGCGTTGAAAATGTGCGTGGGCTGAATCCGCGAAATATCCTCCTCAATAGAGCGCCGATCCTCCAGCCTGCCAGTACCATATTCGTACGCGATGCCCCTCTCGTCACAAAGCTTGCCCAGCAACCCGCCGATCCAGCCAGTTCGACCATAGATCAAGAACTTCAGAGGTGGCTTGCCCTTCACCACCGACGGCGAAGGAATCTCCATGAACTGCTCCGCACGGGGCATCGGTTTCTCCATGCTGTATGACGAGAGCATGCGAGGATGAGGAAGCAAAGCCCCCGACACATCACCCCAGTAGTCGAGATTCTGTTTGTACCAATCAAACGTCTTCCTCAAACCGTCTTCCCACGAAGTCCGCTCATCCCAGCCGAGAGCCTTGAGCTTTTGGTCGTTGAGAAAGTACCGGAAGTCATTGAAAGGCCGGTTCTCGACAAATTCAATGTACTTCTCGGGGTCAAGGTTAAGCATCTTGCAAATGTCGTGGGCCACATCAATAACTCGCCTTTCCCTCAAAGTACCGATGTTGTACACTTGACCCACGGCTCCCTACACAGGGTAAAACAACAAGCCGTCATTGCTGTTAAACGTAAATTTCGAAGGGTCATGTTCTTGTGTTTAAGGATCTTACCTTGTGCAGGACGACATCGAAGGCCTCAGCCACGTCCTCGCAGTACAGATAGCTCCGCACGTTGGATCCATCGCCGTGAATGGGCAAAGGCTTGCCTTGCATGGCGAGCAGCATGAACTTGGGAATCATCTTCTCCGGGAACTGGTACGGACCGAAGACATTGTTGCCGCGCGTTGTGATGCAAGGGATGCCGTACGACTGGCTATATGCCATGACCAGCATCTCAGCGCCAGCCTTGGTGGCAGAGTACGGGTTGGTAGGGAGCAGGCGGGAACCCTCGCTGTTGCCCACGAGAGCGTCAGCACTAGTTTCGCCGTAGACTTCGTCCGTGCTGACGTGGATGAAGCGTTTGATGGTTCCCGCCTGCTTGCACGCCTCGAGGAGCACGTGAGTGCCATAAATATTGTTCTTGGTGAATTCAAAGCTGTTTCCGAACGAGTTGTCCACATGGGTCTGAGCTGCGAAGTGCATGACAGTGTCGATCCCCTCAGTCAGGAGAAGATAGTTCACGAGATCAGCGCTTGCGATGTCGCCCTTCACGAACTTGAAGTTGGGCGAACGCATCGATCCATCCAAATTCCTGAGATTTGAGCAATAATCAAGCTTATCCAGAACCACCACACGGTACTGCGGGTGGCTCCGGACGATCCTGTTGGCGACATGAGAGGCGATGAACCCTGCAGCTCCTGTGATCAAAATAACGTTAGGCGTGTACGTCTCAGCCATGGCGGCTCTCAGTTACAAGGGACAGGGAAGTGAAAGCGAGCTGGTGTGACTGACTCAGGGTTATCCAACAGAATACTGAATATCTTTCCTTCCTTCCACCCCAACAAGACAATTCTCTGCCATCAGGCTGGAAGTTGGGTCTTCCAGCTTGGCATGTATCATCAGATCCGGAAATCTCTCAGGTTGGTCAGTGATGGGATGTGGGGCGGGAGTGGGGTGGGGACCTTCAGCGCCTCGGCACTTGCGGAGGAGGGTTTGGCGGGAGAGGGTCGCCTTTGCTACTGCCAGAAGCAAAACCAACCACCATTGGTTGGGACTCCACCGACTCAAAACAGGCTGCTGATCTGTGACATGACCACTGGCTAACGACATCACAGTAACATCTAACAATGTACTGAGGTAAACTACAATGAATGTAGATATTCATTACTGAGTCTTTGTTACGGGTGCAATGGATCGAAGTAGCTAGAATTGCACTAAGGTGTCAAACGAGTACCAAATGTGAGCGAAGGCATGAGCGAACATTTATACGCGAAACATGCACGGTAACGCGGTGCGTGCGAGCTAGCTAGTGCTACGCTGGAAGCGAGGCTCGGGCTAGTCCCGAAGCGTAGGCCGACACGGCCGGTCCAGCAGTGCGAGCTTTGGTAAAACAGTGCGCGCAAAATCAGCGAAGCCCCGTTAGCAGTAATGGGCGAACAACGGCTGCTGCTGTACGCGGTGTTGCAGGGTGCGCTAAGGAATATCGATAAAATTCCGTACACTACCCCCCCCCCCCCTCAAGAAGCCCCCTCCGCTACGCGAGTGCGTGTATATTGCGGAAACCCCGGCTCCTCAGGTACACTTGCAGGGTAGGGTGGTTTTCGATGTTGGCCAGGGGCACCCAGCTATCTTCAGTTGGCGTGCGATCCTTCCAGCGAACGAGGAATTCAATCCTCCTGATTCCCGTGGGGTGTCGAATCCGATGGCTCTGGATTTTTTTGGGCTCGATGATCGGTTCCGATGCAGGGCGAGTCATGGATGGCGGGCGGTGACGAAGCATTTGGCTTGTGGTTGGGATGTATGGGCGAAGCAGGCTGACGTGGAACGTAGGGCTGATGTACCAGTCCGTCGGCAACAGCAGGTGGGTTGTCACTGGGGTAATCATGTGGCTGATTTGGAATGGTACACAGTAGCGGGGTCGTAATTTTGGTACGACGGACAGTCTTAAGTTCTGTGTGTCGAGAAGTACGTAGTCTCCTGACTGGTACGTGACTGGGCGGCGGTGGCGGTCAGTGTTGCGCTTAGCGATGACATTGGCTTTGCTTCTACGGCTCTGGTGCAGGCAGCTTGCAGAATTTCGGCGAACTGCTATGCCCGTGGTGTTGGGTTGTCTGGACTCGGCGTCATGGGCACTGTAGGGTTTTGCCCGTAATTTAGGTAGAGAGGGAACTGCTGCGTCGTTGCTGACGTGGCGTTGTTGTACGCGAACTCGATCAGGGGCAGCTGCTGTTGCCAAGTGGTCGGGTCGTCGCACGTGGCACAAATCAACTGCTCCATCGTCTAATTCGTCCGCTCCGTTTGACCGTCGGTCTCGGGGTGGTACGACGAGCTGAACTGTAGCCTTGTCCCGAACTGCTCCCAGAGGTTTTTCCAGAAGTTGCTGGTGAACTTCGTGTCGCGGTCGCTGTTTATCGCGGCTGGTATCCCGTGCAGTCGAACGGCGGCTGCGATGAACAGGCGAGCGATTTCTTCGGCTGAGATCGATTTCTTGCACGCAGCGAAGTGTGCCATCTTCGTCAACCTGTCAACGACGATCATAACTGCGTCGTTACCCCCAGGGTTCGAAGGTAACCCCGTGATGAAATCCATGGTAACCTGCTGCCAGGCATGCTCAGGCGGTGGAATCGGCTGCAACTGACCCGCCTTTCTTTTTCGCGAGTTCTTCATCACCTGACACGTAGGACACGAGCCCACGTGGTGCTGTACGTCGGTCAACAGCTCCGGCCAGTAGTAATACCGCTGCAGTTGCTGTCGCGTTTTTTCTACCCCGAAATGTCTCGAGGTAATCCCGTCGTGTGCTTCCTGTAGTAACAGTTCCCTCAATAGTGAGTACGCGGGTACCCAGATGCGGTTGGTGCCTGTTTTTACGTAATACGCCTTTGGCCTCTGCCAGTTGCTGTGAACTTCCGGTCGTGAAAAACGGGTCGGTACTGTATCCGTGGGTGAATAGGCATGTTAACCGTGGATTGGTTTGGGCGAGTAAGATGGCGTGGAGTTGGGCGGTGGGGCGTGTGAGTGCGTCGGCGATGTTGGATGCGCCTTTTTTGTACGTGACCGTGTAGTGGAAGTTGGACTCCAGATAGTCCAACCAGCGGATCTGTCGTGGGTTGAGATTCGGCTGGGCGCGAAGGTACTGTAGGGATCGGTGGTCTGTCCGTACTGTCACGTCTGCTCCCGTGAGGTAACATTGCCACACTTTGAACGCGTGCACGATCGCCAACATCTCGCGGTCGTGTATCGGGTAGTTGCGTTCAGGTGGGTGAAGTTTGCGGGACTTGTACGCGATTGACTAGAGGCCGTTCCCGAAGTCCTGCAACAGTACTGCTCCCACAGCGATGTCGCTAGCGTCGGTGACGAGCTCGAACGGACGGTGCGGATCTGCGATGTGAAGTACGGGCGGCGAGCACAAAATTTTATTGAGGGCCGAGAAGGCAGCTTGCTCTTTCTCCCCCCACGTGTACTCAACCACCTTCCTCAGCCGGTCGGTCAACGGGGCAGTCAGCTTCGCCATGTCGGGGACGAACCGGTGCACGTAGTTGACGATGTCAAACTCATATGCTATAGTCTGTGTAGGCTGTAGTGGGGTAGACAATATGGGGTACAACATTTCTAGGTTTTCCTACTTGTACCCACCTGCTTGCTAGTTCATTCATTCCTCATTTCTTCACATGGTATCAAAGCAGTTTCCCTAGTGGGAACGCTTCTTAGGGCCCACCACTGAAATCGATTTTTTTTTTCCTGACCGGAGCGCGAGTCGCCCCTGCCCGAGGCGCGCCCCGTGGGCCGCCCTCTCGTCGCGTCCCCTGCCCTTAGCGGCCTGTCGCGCCCTCCTAGAGGCCCCTCGCGGCACCCTTAGCGGCCCCGTCGCCACCCCTAGCGGCCCCGTCGCCACCCTATACGGCCCCGTCGCCGTCCTTTGCGGCCCCATCGCCGCCCCTCTAGGCCCCTCGCGGCCCCTTCGCGGCCCCGTCGCCGCCCCCAGCGGCCCCGTCGCCGCCCTTCGAGGCCCCTCGCGGCCCCTTTGCGGCCCCGTCGCCGCCCCTAGCGGCCCCGTCGCCGCCCCCTATCGGCCCCGTCGCCGCCCTTCGCGGCCCCGTCGCCACCTCTAGCGGCCCCGTCGCCGCCCTTCGCGGCCCCGTCGCCGCCTCTAGCGGCCCCGTCGCCGCCCTTCACGGCCCCTCGCGGCCTCTTCTCGGCCCCGTCGCCGCCCCTTTCGGCCCCTCCCCGGCCCCTTCATCGCCGAGCAGCCGAACCGCCGAGCCGCCGAGCCGCCGACCCGCCGAACCGCCGAGCCGCCGAGCCGCCGAGCCGCCGAGCCGCCGAGCCGCCGAACCGCCGAGCCGCCGAGCCGCCGAACCGCCGAGCCGCCGAGCCGCCAAGCAGCCGAGCCGCCGAGCCGCCGAGGCCGCCGTCGAGCCGCCACTACCGAGCCGCTGCCGCCGAGCCGCCGTCGAGCCGCTGCCACCGCAGTTGCAGCCCTGTTCCTACCGGCGAGCCCCGGCCCTACCCACCCGGACTGGTGAGAGCACTCCCTGCTAGACCACTGCTGTAATGGCTACCCCCAGTGTCCTTACCTTTGATGCTGAGGGTCGTGCTGTTGACTTCGAGGTCTGGGTCGATGACCTACAGCTCTTCCTACAGTGCGATAGGGCAGACGGACTCTCCCTGTTCGATCTCACCTCTGGTGCCTCTCCTGCCCCGCCTACTGATGCTGACAGCACTGTTCGCTCACAGTGGGCCACACGCGATGCTGCTGCCCGTCTTGCTGTGCGTCGCCACTTACCGACCGCTGAGCGTGCGCACTTTAGTCAGTACAAGAGTGCTAAGACCTTGTACGACGCTGTAGTTGCACGCTACTCTTCCCCTGCCACTGCTGCCCTTAGCCGCCTCATGCTGCCGTACCTGTTTCCTGACCTCGCCGCCTTTCCCACTGTCGCTGACCTCGTTACGCACCTTCGCACTAATGACACCCGCTACCGCGCTGCGCTTCCTGCTGAGTTCTGCGCCAAGAACCCCCCCCCCCATGTACATCACCCTCTACTACATAGTCACCCGGCTCCCTGACTCCCTTCGCTCGGTCAGGGACCACTTCCTCTCTGTTTGCCCCACCACACTCACCGTTGACCTCCTCGAGGAGCGCCTCCTGGCAGCTGAGAAGAGTATAGTCGCTGTAGGAGCCTCTCGAGGTGACCCTCGTGCCCCTGTCTTTGAGGGGTGCTCCCCCTCCCCCCTTTTGCCCTCTGTTGCCTCTGCTGCTGCCGTCGACTTCGTTGGCACCGAGTCGGTCGGCGCTGCGTCTGCCCCTAGCGGGCGACGCCGCACCGGAAAGGGCAAGGGGGGCAAGGGCGCTGGAGGGGCTGGTGGGGGCGGTGTAGGTGGAGGTGGAGGAGGCGGAGGGAGTGGGGGTGGTGGTGGGAGTGGTGGCGGGGGTGGGGGTTTCGGTGGCGGCGGTGGCGGCGGAGGCGGCGGCGGCGGTGGCGGTGGGAGCGGCGGTGGGAGCGGAGGCGGCGGAGGTGGCGGAGGCGGCGGCGGCAGCGGTGGAGCTGGTCGCGGCTCTGCGCAGAGGAGTGGCTCCGGTGGTGGTCTGCGCCAGCTGCAGCAGCGCACTCGTGAGACCCCGTCCCCTCAGCAGCTTCGTGAGTGGTACGCTGGGCGTCAGCGAGGTGGGGGTACTGGTCCCTGTACCTACGTCCTCCGTACCGGCGACCGCGCTGGTGAGCAGTGCGGGGGCTCGCACT